AAGAAGGATATTACTCTACTTAACCAAATAGCTTACCAGCTTTATAATAATTAATCTTTGCTTTATTTAGTATTTGTTTTAAGGCAACAAATTATGTATGAAATAGCTTATAAGTAATACATATGTTGGACTTCCCTGGTGGCTCAGATGATGAAGAATCTTCCTGCAATGCAAAAGACCCAGGTTTGATCCCTGGGTCTGGAAGATACCCTGGAGAAAGGAATGGCAACCCACTCCAGTATTCGAGCCTGGAGAATTCCATGGACAGAGGAGCCTCATGGGCTACAGTCCATGGGGTCGAAAGAATTGGACATGACTGAGTAACTAACACACATACACAATATATATGTTATTGATATTTTGAGATAATTAGTATTTTCTCATGTAAACAATCCTGTCTTTAAACAATAGTTTTTTAAAAAAGAAAATATCCCTCAAAACAAGATTTTATAAATTATCCCTGATACTTTTTAAAAATTTTTTTCTATTAATTTAATTTTGGATTTATTACACTTTTGAATACTTATACAGAAATTTTCAAATATACAAAGTAGAAAGAATGGTAAAATAAGTTCCCTAGTATTAATCACCAACTTCAACAATGATATTGCCTTCTAATGTAATAATGTTCATCTTTATCCTTCCCTAACAACTTACTTATCAGATATTTGGTGGTTAGACAATTAATAATTTAGGTATTATTTTTGTGGGTTTGTTCCCATCTCTAGAGCTGTAGAAAGCTGTCCATGAAACAAACAAACAAACAAAAATTTAATATAAACAGTTTTTTTGAGAAATTTTGTGTGAGATAAACCTATTCCTGTGACCTACTTCTTTTACATCCAAAATTAAATTTGAAGTGAGACACATAATTCATTTTATATTTACTGTTTTCAAGAAGGATATTACTCTACTTAACCAAATAGCTTACCAGCTTTATAATAATTAATCTTTGCTTTATTTAGTATTTGTTTTAAGGCAACAAATTATGTATGAAATAGCTTATAAGTAATACATATGTTGGACTTCCCTGGTGGCTCAGATGATGAAGAATCTTCCTGCAATGCAAAAGACCCAGGTTTGATCCCTGGGTCTGGAAGATACCCTGGAGAAAGGAATGGCAACCCACTCCAGTATTCGAGCCTGGAGAATTCCATGGACAGAGGAGCCTCATGGGCTACAGTCCATGGGGTCGAAAGAATTGGACATGACTGAGTAACTAACACACATACACAATATATATGTTATTGATATTTTGAGATAATTAGTATTTTCTCATGTAAACAATCCTGTCTTTAAACAATAGTCTTTTAAAAAAGAAAATATCCCTCAAAACAAGATTTTATAAATTATCCCTGATACTTTTAAAAAATTTTTTTCTATTAATTTAATTTTAGATTTATTACACTTTTGAATACTTATACAGAAATTTTCAAATATACAAAGTAGAAAGAATGGTAAAATAAGTTCCCTAGTATTAATCACCAACTTCAACAATGATATTGCCTTCTAATGTAATAATGTTCATCTTTATCCTTCCCTAACAACTTACTTATCAGATATTTGGTGGTTAGACAATTAATAATTTAGGTATTATTTTTGTGGGTTTGTTCCCATCTCTAGAGCTGTAGAAAGCTGTCCATGAAACAAACAAACAAACAAAAATTTAATATAAACAGTTTTTTTGAGAAATTTTGTGTGAGATAAACCTATTCCTGTGACCTACTTCTTAAAATTTTTTCATGACTTTAACTCATGCTTACTTTATAAAACTAATCTACCTTCGCATACATGATATTGTAACATTTAAACATTAATATTAGTATTAATCCTCAACCTCTCTCTCTCTTTCTGTGTGTGTGTGTTCCCATTTGTTTAATAGTTTTAAATGACTTTGAAATTTTGCCTTTAAAAAATGTTCTGTGTGTAAATGTATGTGGATACTTGTGCAGACACAGAAGTTTTCTGTGTGCTAGGCATTCTATGTGCTAAATTGTTTACATCTATTAACACATCAAATATTCCTTCAAGTGATACTGTTAGAAATTTTATGTACAGATGAGCAAATGGAGTCTGAGTTAAGTATGCTCCAATTAGTGACATATCCCAACATTGGTCCCGAAGCTTGTCTGACACAAAACATATACATTGCCATTATTCAACATTGATGCGATTATTTAAAAACATTTTTGGAATGTCTGGTGCTTAGGTTGTAAGGGAACCTGCAGTCTTACAAGAAGATCGGTTCATTTCCTTTCCTGCCCACCATGTTCTTTTAACAAACATACCAAATAAATTTATTATATGATATTTTGTGTTGTCATCTAATCCTTTTATATTTGTAAATTCTATATACTATAAGATACTATGTACCTCTCAGATATTGAAATCATAATGAGTACTTAGTTTATATCACAGCAAATTTCTTTAAATAGATAAAATACATTTTTTAACAGAGAAGAAATCTTGAATTGCATTTTGAAATTTTGTTCCAAAGGATTGTTTCAATTTTCCCAATCCATATACCTAAGGGTTATATAGCAAAACTATCAGTCAGTTCAGTCACTTAGGGTGTCTGACTCTTTGCGATCCCATGGACTGCAGCACTCCAGGCTTTCCTGTCTATCACCAACTCACGGAGCTTACTCAGACTCATGTCCATCAAGTCAGTGATGCAATCCAACCATCTCATCCTCTGTTGTCCTCTTCTCCTCCCGCCTTCAATCTTTCCCAGCATTAGGGTCTTTTCTAATGAGTCAGTTCTTCACCTCAAGTGGCCAAAGTATTGGAGGTTCAACTGCATCATCAGTCCTCACAATGAATATTCAGGACTGATTTCCTTTAGGATGGACTGGTTGGATCTCCTTGCAGGCCAGACTATATAGAACTATAATGATGCCAAGTTTATTTTCGCCAATAACTTACCATTTCTGACCAAAAGGTTGTCAGAACTGATGATAGGAAAATATATTGAACTGTCACTGTCTCTGCTTTGTGCATTCTTTCCTCCCAAATCCCCGTGCTACTCATTGGCGTTGCTTCTACTACTAAGGTATGGAGAAGGTACAAAGAAGACACCTACTATGTTCTGATTACCAGCCATGTTCCTACTCCCATACCAAATGCTTTCCCTTTGTTATTTAGTGTCAATGACATTAAAACATTAGATGTTAAAAACATGAAGACAGCAGTTAAACTATCCATTTTCCCAACTTCATCTGCCACTTGCTAGCCATATAACCTGTCAAGGAATTCAACTTTTCTAAGCTTGTTTTCTCATTTACAAAACATGGATAACTTTAGCCATGGCTTCACGATGAATTAAATGAGATAATCTGCATAAGGTTCTGAAAATAAGTGTTTAGAGTATAGTAAGCACTCAAAAAGAAATCATTAACTAGTTGTAATGATTGCAGAATTCTTGTGTAATTATTATATATATATGGCTGAAGCATGCATGAGCAGTTTAGGCTACTATCAATTAAACATAAACTCTCCATTACCTAATAGCCTTAGAAATCAAATGCACAACATAAAACATTTGATGCCTATTGTGTGGAACTGTTCATATACTTTGAATTTGTAGAGTTACAAATAGTATTTAGTAAAAAAAAAAAAAGTTTTATAAAAATGCATGTATGTGTAAATCAAAGTATATGAAGTCCTTCTGTTTTCCCACTGCATCCTCTGTCATATGATTTGTTCCATTCATGTGAATCTAAATGCCGTCTCCATGCAGAATACTTTCAAATTCATGTCTACAGTTCTGATGCCTTCTCTGAATTTCACCCTGACATACTCCACAGCTCCCTGGAAATCTCCTTTTTTATGTCTTAAACTCTCATGGTGAAAAAGTTGAAAACTGTATTTTTGATTGCTCACCACACCCATCCATACTCAATCCCAGCTCTTAAAATGCATTTCTCTTGCTTTTTTTTTTTCCGTTTCACTTATTGGATCCCTTGTACATCCTCTGCCTGTACTTATTCGAGTTTGCCAAGACAAGAAACACAACCACCTGTGATCTGTTCTCTGCTTCATTCCCTACATCCAATACTGATTTAGTCTTGGAAGTTAGTTCCACCTCTTGGAATAAGGGCTTCCCTTGTAGCTGAGTTGGTAAGTAATCTGCCTACCAGTGCCAGAGATCTAGGTTCGATCCCTGCATCAGGAAGATCCCCTGGAGAAGGAAATGGCAACCCACTCCAGTATTCTTGCCTAGCAAATCTCATGGACAGAGGAGCCTGGTAAGCTACAGTCTGTGGGGTCGCAAGAATTGGACATGACTTAGTAACTAAACTACTACAACAAACTACTTGGAATAAAATATTCCTTGAACCCATTCACTTCTCTTCATTGCTACCATCGTATTTGCCTGGTCTTTTAAAATAACCATCTGATGTACCCATTCTCCTGACTCACTATAATGAATTTGTATATATGATGCCACATTTCTTTCCTGCTTAAATATGGGATAAGGCAAAACCCAAATGATTGCCATATCTTAAAAGATCCATTATATCACCCTCTTCAATTTCATCTATTTCCCCTTTATCCTCACTGACACATTTCTAATACATTAGCCTAATTTCTTTCCCTCAGTAACCCACTTTCTTTCCCCTCATTAGGGCTTTTGTTTCTACCATTTCTTTTTCTTGTCATGCTCTGTTCATCTCTCAGATTTAGTCTAAACATTACCTTCTCAAACTGCTTTTTTCCCCCCTGATTATCTTCTCAAAGTAGATTACTTATCTCCCACTCACTCTCATAACAAAGTTATTCTTGAATATGTTTCAGAAGCTGTAGTTATATATTCAAGCATTTGTTTAGTCTGTCTCTTGTTCTGGACTCTAAGCCCCATGAGGCTAGATAATGCATCTGTTTCACATGTGATTGTTTACCTAGCCAGTGCCTAGCACGTCATAGGCATTCAATAAATATTTTTGAAATGAATGACTGAAACAATAATATCATCAATAGCATCATTTCTTTTTCTTCAGAATTCTTTTCTGGACAGATTGGGACGCCAATTTTCCTCGCATTGAATCGGCCTCCATGAGTGGAGCTGGGAGGAAAACCATCTACAAAGACATGAAAACTGGGGCTTGGCCTAATGGACTCACTGTGGACCACTTTGAAAAAAGGATAGTTTGGACAGATGCCAGGTTTAATTTTTTTTTTTCCTTTCTTTTCTATAACCTTCATCAGATAATATTTACAAAATTAAAATGTGTATTCCTGTGCATGTATCATGTATACATACATTGAAATTGGTGGTGAACTTTATTTGCTTTTCTTATGATACTTTTTTTTGAAATCTTTCTGAAAATCAGGTACAGGATCATAAAAATATTTTTACATAATTTTTTTGCCATTTAAGTAGTATGAGCATATCACTGGACTATTTGAATGTGCTTTTATATACCGCTGATGCATTTACTTTTCTGTAGGTCAGATGCCATTTATTCAGCCCTCTATGATGGAACAAGCATGATAGAAATTATCCGAGGTCATGAATACCTTTCTCATCCCTTTGCTGTGTCTCTATACGGGAGTGATGTTTATTGGACGGACTGGAGGACCAACACGCTGTCAAAAGCCAACAAGTGGACGGGGCAGAATGTCAGCGTGATTCAGAAAACCAGTGCGCAGCCGTTTGACCTTCAGATCTACCATCCCAGCCGTCAGCCCCAGGGTAAGTGATTGTTATGAATTAGTGACCAGAATTTATTGTCACCTTAATCACATAATAATCAAACTGTAAAATAATTTTGTAAGCTGCTGCTGCTGCTATGTCACTTCAGTCATGTCCAACTCTGTGCGACCCCATAAACGGCAGCCCACCAGGCTCCCCCGTCCCTGGGATTCTCCAGGCAAGAACACTGGAGTGGGT